CTGTGGAAACTTACATTATTTTCGGCTGATCTGTAGCTATTGGTAATAGATGAAATAACAAACAGTTAACAGACAGCCATCGAGACAGTTACAAAAACAAAACCAATACACTTCAATACCAATAGATAATAGCAAGCACGCGTGACGCCTGCGCGCTGACTAACTTGTGAGGATAGGAGTCTCCGGCTCCGGTCAGAATTTGAGCAGGCACGCTTTTAGTTTGGCTTAGGTAATATTAGGACTGGGAATTGCAAGGAAGTATTTTCGTCTCATGAAATGCCTGTCCCCAAAATCTGTTCTGAGCCCTGAATCCCTTGCTCTTCAGCACTCCCTTCGCATCGTCCTCTTTCACTGGCTATGTGTGCCCAGTCCTACCGTTAGTTCAGGTGGACGTTAAATTTGATCCAGGAATGGGCAAAATTATAGTAAACAGTTTTGTGAAAATCTTAGGAGAGTTAGTGCTTGAATTTATTTCAGGATTTACAGAGATGTGGAAGGCTGAAATAAAAACCAGCATTGGCTTCCATAATGCAGTAATCGTCATGAAATTCTTACTTTTCCATGTGTCAACATTACAGTATGCTGTAAGGTAAAGCAAAGGAATCGCACAAAAAGTATCAGAGGCATTATTTGACAATGTATCTTTATGAGCATATTATTTTCATTATCTGCTGCAAACGGCATGTGGAGAGTCTCTCTTTCCTACCTTTTCTTAATTTGTGTATGATATATGGCACTATTTCTCAGTGTGGCCCCGAAGCTGCAAAAACCTATACTTCTATGCAATTCCCTTAAAATATGTTGGTACATTTCCCCTTACAGGGCAACTAGGGAGTGACTGTAGCCACTTGTCAAACTCTGGCCAAATAAAAGAGCAAATAACCTTATGTCACTTTAGAAAACAAATAAAATAAAACTTACCTGCTTATCCTTTCCAGAAGGCAGTGTTTTCCTCCAGATCCAATCACGAGTTTTCATTTCCTCCAGTTTTACAACAGCCCCAAGCCCCAAAGGGGCAATCGCCAATTTGCTTCCATTTAATGTTTATGTCACTACTGCAGGCAGTAAATATAAAACAAAACGTGAAGTATTGCGTTTCCACCTGTGGTCATACTTTCACTTACACTCCGCTGAGGAACTCCCACACTGTAACATTTTACATCTAAAAATCTCCAGTTAATCGCCAGCTGCTCGAAGTGGGAAAGAGCTTAAAGCACTGCCAAGTTTCACAGCCTGTATATCTTAAATATATATATTAAGAGCAGAATTCTGGGTTTTGGTCTTTTGGGATCCTATGACTAGTCTTTGAACTGAACAGAAATGAGAGGGAGTGAGGGACAGACAGACAGAGACAGACCTGTTGTAAAAGCCCTAACCATGTGGGGAGTGTTGTGCTGAATGTGTGTCTTACTAGATACCTGCAAACCCATCTCCGAGAAAAATCTTGTTGAGGAATTAATCCCATAGTGTCTACTAGTAAAGTGTGAGCTATGACTAAAGCACTTCTGGTGGGTAGAGGACGTAGGACAGCTTCTCCCTCTGCGGATCCTCTGATGTCCAACAAGACCTGAGCTCGTGCTCTAGTTTCTCCTGAAATTACAGTATTCAGAACACATTTTCCTCTAATTGGACTCTTTCTCGCACAAGCTTAATGAAAATTCCTTTCTTAATGCCTCTTCCCATCTGTCAAATTTGACTGAAATTAGTAAACTGAAACATGAGTATACAGAGGATGAGTGTGTAAGCCTGGCTTCCTTCAGAAACCGCGGAAAAACAAAACAAGAAAGTCCCTGCGTTCATTTCCCAAGAACACGCAGCTCAAAAGGCAGTTTGCTCGGGCAGATTGGTTATGCTGCATGCTTCTATAGCAAGTACATGCTGTACTAATCTTGAATAGTAATGATATTTCACATGGTTAAATCTGAGGTCCAAAACTTGCCTATTGCATTTGCTTGTGTTCATGTGTACACATATTGACTGCAATGATGTATGTAGTTTTGGTCTCCCAGTGCAGCAATACATGAAGGAACATTGTTCACTTCTAAGGCAAAACCAAGCCAGCTTAAAGGAGAAAACAAGGACGGAAAGCTGCATCTTCAGTAAGTGAATGTTTTAGAGTGAGAAAGACCGGAAGTTGTAACTTCAACTGTATTGTGACATTTGACAACAGTGGCCACATTTAAGCTGCAATTGCTACATATGAACTATTCCCAGTGAGTAAGGGACAACATACGTTATGTCCTTGCTATAGTTAAACCAGACACTACTGTTCCACAAAAATAATCTATCATACTTACTTTCACGTATTTTATAGCAAGTCCAACATCTATGAATCACCAGTCTGTACTGCATTGAGTGGCATGTTGTAAGTTGTGTGCATATTTAATTAATTAGATATTAAGCATTAAAGACCTGGCTTCTGGGTACATTCTCAGCCAAGAACTATTCAGAGAGCACACAAGAGCCATGATGTTTGGCATGACATACCCTCTCTGCTGCAACTGTAGCATGCTTAGTTGCTAAGAAAAATCAAACCTGTGAAGTACTCTAGCTTTACCTGCCATTCTAATGCAAATCAGCATTAAGATAAAAAGAAGTGAGTTCTAAGTAGTAAGTGATCACTCAGTTTTACACAATTTCAAAGAGTGCTTATTATCTCCCTACTAGGACCGGATGCAATACGATTTAGATGGCTCTTTCCTTTAACACCCTTCACTTGACTGACGGGAAGTGTCTGAATTACAAGTCCATGGTCCTAAATATTAACTGAAAACACACTAGCCTACGAATATTCAGTCATTCTTAAAATCAAAATACACTAACAGATCAGAATATAACAAGCTACACACTTGGAACTGTAACTGCTCTGTGATTATTTGTTACACATCCTTTGATTTCACCCTTTAGCAAGTGAACTTGCAACTGAAGTTTTAAATACCTTAAACAGGGTAACAAAACACCTCCAAAGCGAAATGATGAGTAAAAAACCCAGGATGATACAAGATGAAAATCAACAGGAATTGTAGATGTAACTGAGTTAATTTGCTAGGTAAATACAGATAAACTATTTAAATGCAATATAGGGCACATTTCTTATATGTGCAGTGTACAGTTAAATAACTGGATTTTTGCTGGGCTTCAGATAGCAATTAAAGTATATTGTTAACATTTAGGATTTAATTATCTCTTACTATATTTTCTGAACATATAATAAGCTCATACCTTTCAGAAAGTTTGCAGAAATCTAGAATTTGTCCCTGTTAACTTTTGCATGTAACTACTAGTTATTTGGCAGTTGTATGTACAGGGAGAGATTCTTATCGTATGTTATGGCCAAAAAGAAATTCTTCTTTATTTGTGTACTGGGTTTGTGTGGCAAGGTTTTGGTAGTGGGCCAGCTACAGGGGTGGCTTCTGTGAGAAGCTGCCAGAAGCTTCCCCTACGTTTAATGGAGCCAGTGGCAGTCGGCCCCGAAGATGGACCTGCCGCTGGCCAAGGCCGAGGCCGAGCCCATCAGTGACAGTAGCAGTACCTCTGGGACAACATATTTAAGAAGGGGAAAAAAACCTGGATAATGGCAAATAAAGCAGTCATTCATTAATGAATGCATGTAAATGACACTTGGGATTGAGTGTATCACAGGGCTGGGTGTCAGCATGCTCCCCTTCCCCTGTGACAGTTGAGAAGCCATTCCACCGTTCCATCAGTCCAGCGGGGAAGGATCGCCTCCTGCTCCTGCCCTTGAGGAGGCAAGAAACTTAAGCAGCTGTCAAACGCATCGCCTCGCCCCATTTTCCTTCAGGGTTAGGATTCAGCTCTGGTACTTGAGAGGAAAAGCCTTGCTTTCACCTGTCTGTACTTCTGCCCTACCTCTGGAATAAAGCCCCACAAGAAATTTTCATTGCTCCCAGCTCACTCATCACCTGTGCAGTCTGACTTTGTGTGAGGTGGCTGTACCATATAAAATCCAGACCCTAGATGAGAGCACAAAGCTGAACCTTGGCTGGCACAGGAGGAAGTTACAAACCCCACAGGATTCACAGCCTCGTGTTTAGAGGTCAGGGCATACAGTTTATTATCTTAGGATTTAGACGCTTCCATTTTTGTAAGTCATAAATCCTGAATCTAAGTTATAAACTTAAAATGGTTGTTGGGGATTTAAAGTTTATGGATGATGATAAATTTTAAACCCTGATGCCTGATCAATAAATGAATAAACTGTAAACCGTGACAAATACTGAGCCTCACAAAAGAAACTAATAACCGCTGAGTAAGCAACCCTCAGCTACAGACTTTAAAAAATAAACCATAAATGAAGGACTCTGAACTGTCAGTTTTAAGTAAGAAACACCAAAGCACATACAAGCAGGAAAACAGTAAAGAGAACCTGAGGAACTTTTTTCCCCACAGCTTTAAAAGTTTCTAAGGAAGACACGCAGCAGAA